TCTTTGCTGGTGGTAAGATTCTCCTCCATTTACTCTTCACTCGTGTATTTAAGGCATTTACATTCAATGATTGATTATCAATAGGTATGAGTTTACAGCTGCCGTTTTGAAATATGTGTGTGTTCATGTTTGTAATGTTGAAGGTTTCTGTTTTTATGTTTTCTTTATTTTTTACTCTGATGGATAGGCTTGTGAGCTTTTTCATTTTACTACTTTGAAATTTACCTTTAGTGTTCTAAGTACAAAGCATTCTTTTTTTTTTTTTTAGTACAAAGCATTCTATTTCTTCTCTTCATCTACATGTGAACATTTTATAACAACACTATTTAGTCTCCCTATTGTTTTAACATTGTCGTCATTTGCCGTTGGATGTCTCCAGTTTCCCGTTTTTGATCTTTCAGCTTTGTTTTATTTCAGAGCGTTCTTTCTCTGGCCTAGTCTCTGGCTGAGGCTGTCTTGTGTCCTAATCTCTGGTTGTTGTCTGACATGGTGCTTCTCTGTGTGAAGGAATCCCTTTAAGATGTTTCATGTGTGCCCTATCTCCTTATAAATTTTAAAAATCAACCAAATCAAATCACATGAGGCAAAAAAAATTAGGTATAATAGAGAAAACACCTTAATATTTTGGAGACAAGCAGATCACACAAAGAAGCAGAATAAGATGGTTCTAATATGTGGTCAAACTAAAGAACTAAAAGCCTTTGGAAGAAGAAAATGTAATATGGTTAAAATATTTCAATTAGAATTTTGTTGATCCCTGGAGCCTTGTTTTGCACCAATACCTTCCTTACAAGTTGGACTTTTTTCTTCATAACCATTGGTTCCTGAAGTAGCTGTATGTTAACCAATTCTTTTTGGTATAGTGACCCTGTGTGTCCCTTCCATCTTCTTTTGATTATTCCTACATCATTCAATATTTTGCCCGTAGACTTCTTTACACAGCAATCCCTTAAGTCAGGGATGAAGAAACTGAGGATTTCGATCAACTTCTGCTCTGGCGATGTAGTTCCTAGTGAGCTGCACTGTTAATCCAAAGGCTTCTCTGGCAGTTCAGATCCACCCTTGGCTCTGGTAGAGGGAGATGGGAAGTTTCCTCTCCTGTGACTTACAGCCTAGGAAATCCAATGGAGGGTCAGCTGTGAGCTGGAACCAACCTGACAGCAATGAGTTTGCACTTCTGTAGTCTGAAGATAACCTAACACCCAGTGAAGGTGCACCAGGAATAACTTGCGATGAGAACATGCCAGGTAGAAATAAATGACTAGTGGTTGGAAAACACACACTTGGTAATAAAAAAAATATTTTAAAATATATTAGCACATTTTAACTCTTTTTGTGTGGCCCATCTTACACTAGCTATGCTTCTGTCTCATTATCTTAATAAGCATTTTTTAAAATGTGTTTGCAATGACTCGCTCATTGTAAATATATATATATTTTAAAACATAAGTGGCAAATGTACATGTGGAACTCACCACATGGAAAACACAAAAATCAAATAGTCTACATCTGTGAAAAGAAACAGTGGGAAAAGTCAATACTATCAGTCCTAACTAAGTCAGGGGCTGACTGTGGAGGTGAAGTGAGAACAGGAGATGGGGGTGGTGGTGGGGGGAAGTCACCAAAAAATTGTTGAAGATTCGTTGGCAGAAAAGTTCCCTAATATCATCAAAGCAGGACCATATCTATCCGAGAAACTCAACAAATCATTTACAGGTCATCATCGTGAGGGTTCTTGCCGATTGCCTTGTCTTACTCTCTTTTTATTTGGAATAGGGTCAGAGGACTTCATAGTGTCCAATTTTGAGTTCGTCATACCTTATAGCATTACCAGTACCGGAGTGACCCCTCTCTTGCTTTATTTAACTGATTGTTACCTGGGCAGGTTGGGTTTTAGTTGATTATTAATCAGGGCCAGCTAGGATTGTACAGCAGTAACATTTTAAAATTCCAGTAACATGAAACAACACAAAATTTCTTTTTCACCAAAACAACATGTCGAATGCAGAGAGACCAGTTGCTACAGAAGTATTCCATGCTTGGAAAAATGGAGGGTCAGCTGAAGAGAGGGAGACCCCTATGATCTGTATTGATATAGTGGTTGCAATCATAGGCTCAAACATAGCTTTGATTGTGAGGCTGGTATAGGACTGGACAAGATTTTGTTCTGGTATCTGTACGGTTACTATGTGTGAGAGTGGCTTTATGTCACCTAACAGCGTAGGTTGGTGAGGGAGCGAGGATTAGGGCTCAGTCTCTTGTGTTCTCATCAATCTAAAACAACAAAAAAATTTTATTGAATGGTTTCCAACTCAGGGAAGCTCTGTTTGTGTCGGAGCAGTACTACATTTACACTAGGTTTTCAGTGGCTATGATTTTTAGAAAAATAAAAGCTGGACCTTTCTTCCCAGGTGTATCTGGGTAGATTTGAACTGCCTGTGTGCTTAATGGTAAGGAACTGCCAACACAGTTCAGATCCACCATGGTGTTCCTCTGAGGGATAAAGATGGTCTGTCTCTTCCCATGTGATTTACTGCCTCTGAAAACCCACTTGGAGGGTCAGCTATGGGTCAGAATCGATGATCCACCGCCACCACCACCACCACCACCACAACAACAACAACAACAAACTAGCACTCAATTGTTTGTACCACTCGAAGACTGTAGAAACTACCCTTACAAATTTTCTTTTCAATTCAGTTTTTCATGATGATCATTTGTGGTAAGAGACATAAGGACTGGATGGTCACTCACCTGCAATTCTTTGGACAGAAGTTGCTGGAGGGACCAGTTCTTGGAGAATGACAACGTGCTTGGAAGGGTAGAGGGTCAGTGCAGAAGAGAAGGATCCTGGATGAGATGAACTGACACAATGACTGTGGTAATGAGGTCAGGTGTATCAGAGACCGTTCGGTTGGCTCAGGATAGGGCAAGATTCAGAGCCATTGTTCATAGGGTTGTATGTTAACGTGACAGCACGTGACAACAGTCAGTCATGTGACCTCACCCAATTATAGAGTGGAGATGGGCAGGGAAGGGTTACCCTTCCATGAGCTTGGGGAAAAAACAGAATAGCTGTGGGTGAGTTTTAGAAGACTCATGAATTTTCATTTTATTCCCTTCTCCACTCCCATGCCTCTTCTCCAACTCTATAAATAGCCTTCCTGATATGTTAGGTTCCAGTGTGTTCACTAGATATCCTTTTAGTTGCATGTATTCTTGCAAAATATGTATTGGTTTATGAGCATGTGTTTTTCATTTACACAGATGCTATTGTACTGCAGGCCTCATTCTACTTCTTTTTCTTTTCCCCCACTTAGCATTGTTTTCAAATATAACCATTTTGCCAAACGCAGATCTAATTTACTGATTTATAACTACTTTGTGGTCTCTGACTCTGCTGCCATGAAGCTTTCATGAACACCATTGTACATGTGCCTACCTATGTGGAATTATAAAGGTATTCCATTGCAGAATTTATCTAGGACAGAACTGCAGGGGTATAGAATTCAGTTAAATAGTGGCTCCACAATCAACATTCTTGATACCAGCAGCCAGGAAATTAAAACAAAAATTGCACTGAGAAAGTCTGTTTTCAGAGACCTCTCCGAAGTACTGAAGAGCAATGATGTCAGTCTGGAGACTAAGGTGCACCTGATCCAGGCCATAGTCTTTGTAATTAGTTACTATGTGTTAGAAAGCTGGTCAATGACTAGGGATGATAGAAGGAAAATTGATGCCTTTGGGCTGTGGTGCTGGAGAAGAGTATTGAATACACCATGGACTGCTAGAAGAACAAACAGGCTTGTCCTAGAGAAGGTGAGACCAGTCTGCTCCTTGGAGGATTCTGAAGCTTTGTCTGACATGCTTTGGACATGTTGCAAGGCGAGATCAGTCCTTGGAGAGGGATGTCATGCTTGGGAGGGTGGAGGAACAGTACAGGAGAGGAAGACCCTCGGTGAGATGGATTGATTCAGGGTAATGGGTGTAGGTGTGTCAGAGAAAATAAGATTGGCACAGGACAGAAAAATGTTTAGGGCTATTGTACATAAGGTTGTCAAGAGTCTCAAGGGACTCAACAGCACATAACAACAACAACAACAGTGCTATATTGGTGCTCTCTTTGTCAGTCCATGCTCTTCCCAACAGGAAATGAAAGGTCTTCTGTCTCTATTCCCATACCAACCCTTAACATTCTCACTTTTATTTACTAAGAAAGAAAATCTAATTTCCAATACCAACCCTTCTGCTGGATGTGCAAGTTATATGTATTGTTTTAATTTATATTTCTTGAATCATCAGTAAATTAAAACATCCCTTTAAATGCTTGTTAGTCTTTAGTGTTTCCCCCCCTTTTTCTTCTTATTGTTAATTTTAATGAAAATTTATAGACGTCTAGTGTTTTTAACTGATGACAAGTACCTATTTTCTTTCAGAATCCTCCAAAAATTTTTTGTCTGTTTAGATGAGTTTTTGGTTAGTGTTAAACTAACCTTGTTGGATTTTGGCATTGCATGTACAGAAGTTCTGTGAGTCTGTAATACATACATAACTTTCTTTATGAAGTCTCCCATTGCATCTCTCTTGCTGAATCTCATTGAACCAAGTCTTTACTTTTTTTTTTAATTAAATTAAAAATAAATTAAAAAAACTCCAACCAAAAAACCCCCATCCAAGCCAGTCTTCCACCAGCGCAAAGTGACTTCTCAAACATCGGGTGTCCTATGGATGGTGTACCCTCAACAGTGGGCTCTCGTGGCCCCGCAGGGTGCTGCTTCTGCTGCAATGTCAGCAGTTGGCATTTTCCTCCAGGTAGCCTCTACGTGGGAGGCAGCTCTGGCCCAGTCTTGGGAACAAGGGAGGCGGCTGGGGTGGAACAGGGGCAGGAAGGACAGTAAGTTAAGACCAAGAATGACCAGAGACACGCAGGATGGGCAGGGGCATCCCAGGAGTCCCAGGAGTCTCTGGCCTGGTCGAGGAGTCATTGGCGAGCGTGTGGCTCAGAAGGTGGTGTTGATGATGCCTTCCTGGACCCCAGGATATTCTTCAGGTCTGACGCTGTACGGTGGGGGTGGTTCTATGGGAGGCAGGCCCATAAAGGGCATCCGCATAATCTCATTGTAGGGGGGAGGGAGCTCAGAAGCGTATATCCTGGTTTCCTGTGGTAAGACACTAGAGTACAGGGCTGAGATTGGTTCCAGATACGCCATCGGAGGGCTCGAGTCCTCTGAACGCATGCAATTTTCACGGAGATACTTGGCCAGGACAACGACGAACAAAATGAAGAGCATCAACACGAAGAAGATGATGACTATCAAGGGTTTGGTGACGACATCATAATCTTTGCAGCATCTGTCACCACAGCATTTTAATCCGTTCGGGCAGATGAGTAAGAAATCGCATTTGGCTGAAACCTGGTGAAGGCTGGCCAGGAGACACAGCAGCAAGGCTGGCGGGAGCCGCCGGATCCAGGGGCCCACCATGCTGACGTGCGGGCTACAGAGCTGCTTCAGTGACAAGAGGGAAGACAGAAGTGCCAAGTCTTTACTTTTATATTGTCAAATCATTCCTTTTCCATCCTATGGATATGTTCTCAGGGATTTGCTTAAAAAACTCTTCTCCTTTCTTCCATTCTCCTACTTTACTATATATAAATATATAATATCTTCCCATTTTACGCTTAGCTATCAAATCCAATGGGTTTCCAGTTTTGTATTAGTATTAGGGAGAAATGTTGTTTTCATTTTCTTTTTGTAGACAGTTTACCCAATGTATAGCCCAGTCATTTCTCATGTATTTGGTTTTGTATCTTAGTACTCTCTCCAAGGGCACTTTCCAAACAATTCCTAGTATATCTAAACTTGCAGGATTCTGTTTTGTCATTGCTGGTAGGTGCATTGTGTAGGCTCTTATCCATGGTAACCCTGTCATGTATAATAGAACGAAACCCTGCCTGGTTCTCCACCAGCCTCCCGGTCTCTGCTGTGCTTTAGACCATAGCGCAGTCATCGTTTGATCCATCTCATTGAAGGTCTGCCTCTTTATCACCCACTCTCCACTTTTCCAAACCTTATATCCTTTTCCCAGGACTGACAGCTCCTAAAAACCCCATCCTGAGAACATATTTGTTAAATTCTTAGTTAAATGAGACGTACACTTGCTGTGTCTTACAGAGAAAATAGATGTGTTAGAGAAGCTGCATAAACTCAACTAACTGATGGGGCTAGATTAATTCAGTATTGGATGGAGCTGGCCAATGGTAGAGAATGGTAGGGCCTGGGTAAAATACAGTGTACATACTTTATCTGTTGAGGGAATTGTGAAATGTCTTAATTTTTTTAAATGCTTGAGGGTTGTATTAAACTGGAACCCACTAGTTTGATATTCCTGCTTATATAAATAACAAATGATTTTTGTTTGTTTAGTTGTTGACTTACACACACACACACACACACACAAACACACACACACACACACTCCACAAGTCAGTAATCTCTAAGTTCAGAGTATTCCCGGAGTAATCTGCCTGGTGAATAACTCTTAAAACTGGACAGGAAGCCCATCCGTCATGACCTGTTCTTAACAAGCCCACACTCGAGTCTCATCCAGCTCACCAGGCTTCCATTCTTGGAATCTGCCTGCTCTCTTTTGAAAAACCAGCACATATGCCCATATCCAGTCAGGTGAGGCCTTACTCATTCCTGAGAATTCCTCATAGATTACTAACACTGACGGGGCCTTGGAGTCTGACCAGAGCAGCCTTTGTTGAGTGGTTTTTAAAAAGAACACCTCAACACATTTTACCCTTGATTTTTCCCAATATGCTTTTAATTTTTAACTTATTAAGTTGCAATTTGAGCAAAGGTTTACATATCAATTATTTTTTTTTCCATTTGACCATTCATACAGATTTTGTTCTGTAACATTCATTTTAATACCTACAACTTAATAAGACTTTTCCCCACTTCTTGCCTGTGGTTCAGAGAGAGCTCTGGCCACTAACATGAATGGGGCCCCTGTCTAGTGGTCCAGGTCCACCAGCAGCTACTCAGAAGGACGATGGGCAGTCACTTCCCGTGCACTCTACCACTTCTGAAAACCTTCTGGAAGGTCACCTATGTGTCAGCTCCAGTTCAACCCAATGAGTTTGAGTTTTTCCTCAAATTCTGATTTTCATTAATCTTTCTGTTCCTCTCTGGATCTTCTCATTCTTTAGTGATACTGTGCTTATCATTCCTATGTTGTATATTGCCCTTTCCGTCACAAATATTAATACGGTACTCTAGCATTTTTAAATAATGCATTAAAATATACTTAACACCAAATTGACCACGTTAACAGTTTTACAGCAGTATTCAGTTCCTTCATAATCTTAGGTAACCATGAGCCTTGTCTAGCTGCACAGTTTCCTGATACTCTGCCGTATTGTAAATGTCCTGACTCCAAACTTTGAATCACTTTCTCATTCCTCTTTCTCAGACCCCTGCCCCAACCAGCAGAGAACAGCTGTGAAGCTCATTGTGGTTGTGTGAGCTTATACGAATCACTGAAACTCTCTGCACCTCAGTGCTCCTGTCTGTAAAGTGGAGGAGTTGAATTGGATGGTTGCCAGGTTTCCTTCTACAGCTAAGTTTTGTGCTTAGGAATCTCTAACAATTGGATAAAACCAAGACCCCTGACTCCAGGAGAATGATCCCCTGACCTATCTTGGCTCCCGTTGTTTAATCGGCCTAGATCAACATTTCCATTTATTTGGAAGACTTCCTTAGACCTCTCTCTCTCTCTCTCTCTTAACCAATAAAAGTATCCTTCCCAGCCCTGCCGGGAATAAGGGACACTTGACCAGGTGATCAAGAATGGGCCCTTGGCCAATCGTTTTCTGATCTTTGTTTCCTTTTAAATGGAACCAGAAAGGAAGAATTCTTTTCCTCTTTGGTAGAGGGCCACCAGTGTGAGTCCAGTTTGCCCGAGGCCCTACTTCCTGCTGTGCTGAGAAAGCTCTCTGTGTGAAAGAGAAGGACAGCTGTAGGCAGAGAGAAGCTCGTGGTCACAGAGGACAGTATCATAGGTGCCTCGTGTGTGGCTTTAGGTACTGTGGAGTTGGTTCAGAGTCATGGGAATCCTGTGAACAGTACTGAAGCCCTGCTCACGCCGTCCTCTGATGTCTGCACAGCGGTTGCTGTGTTGGAGCCCATGGCTGCAGTCACAAGGTCACTTCGTCCTGCTGAGAATCTTCCTCTTTTCTCTGACCCCTAACAAGGAGGCTTCCTTCAGGATCTGGTCCTTCCTCATTGTATGTATGTGTTCAAAATACAGGAGACAAAGTCTTACCATCTTCGCTTCTAAAGGCGCATTCTGCTACGCTCCTTCCATTACAGATGGATTTGGTCTTTTCCCAGTCCATGGTGTAGTATGCACTGTCATCACCATGATTCAAAAGCATCATCAGTCTTTTTTATTTATTGGTCTGCTAAATTATACAATTGTTCAGGTCTTTCATTCATAGGGTTGCTATGAGTCATCTATGACTCAATGGCACTTAACAACAACAAGAACAACATAGATAGAGCTCAGTTGACCTAGTGGACAGAAAGTGATGCTACCAAACCAAAGGTGGGTGATTTTAGTCTGTGGCCCTCAGGCCTTGTTTCAATTGTTTTTGGTCAAACGTTCTTCTAAGTGGTACAGCACTGGTCTATTTGCTGTACAGAGGTAACTCGTGGTTGCTGTGAAGCTGAACAATGTGACACTGATGTGTCAAATGCGATACTGGTCATAATGGTGGCCAGTGTTTGGTGGAGCTCCTCGATTAAACTTGGAAGCAGGAGTGGCATCCACTTCCAAAATAGCTTGCCTCTGGAAACACTATGAACCTGGAGAAACGATGAAAGTTATACAATTGTTCAGGTCTTTCATTCATAGGGTCACTATGAGTCATCTATGACTCAACAGCACTTAACAACAACGACGTTGTTACTATGTACTATTTATTTGGAACTGAGCCATTGCTGACCATCCAGTGAGTTTTCAGAGGCACTAAATCACACATGAAGAAATTGTCCATCTTACTCCCACAGAGCTGGTGGATTGGAGTCACATACCTCTAGGCTGGCAGGCAGCACAATTCCATAAAGAACCATCAGCTTTTCCAGAAGCCAGGTTATTGCCTACTCTGTGTTTCTATCCTTTGGTTCCATGAACAAATAAGGTTTTGTTTTTGTCTTTAAGTGAGTTTTTGTTGGCTACCATTTGCTGCAGAATGAGTCTAGATAAGCGTAATGCATTATTGACCCTTATATTTTGATAGTTATCTTGGTTCTTAACCTCATTTTCCTGCAGAATGCCTAACTGAAGCCACTGCCATTGACTCTGTTCTAGCTCATAATGACCCTCCATCAACTTTCTGAGACGATAAATGATTCACTGGAATGATTCATCGTTCTCTTTCAGAGTTCCTGCTGGATTTGAACTGTCAAACTTTCAATTAGCAACTCAATTAGTTACAAACTATGCCACCCAGACTCCTTAATTTCTTTTAAGATACCTTTTAAATGTCTTTAAAAATCCTCGTTTAAGTGCTTCACAAGGTTTGAAAGAATTAAACAAGTTACTTTTTCACCTTGGACCATATTATCCATTTTCCCATAAAACAGCAGATTTTTTGAGAACAACGATATTACTTTCTGTTTTCTCAGGAAAAGTTTCTTAAAAAGCATAGTCTTCAAACTGCGGGTGATTGTGAAGGTGCCGAGCACTCATGCCTTCAGCATTCATAAACATAACATGAACGTGGATGACATTGAGAGACTGCACCCACCTGGTGACATGGTCACCCAGCCACCCACATCCTTCTGCGGGGAGTCCTAGGGTCCAGCCTGGACACTGAGAGCACATGCGCCTGACTGCCCACATGCCCAGGGAGAATTTCAGTCCGCCCTGGCTAAAGACAGCAGAGACTTCCGGAACTTCCTCGCTGACTGGAACAGGCAGCTAACTAAAGCCACAGACTGTTTTTAACATAAGGGTCAGAGTAGTCTGGCCTCGTTATGGGTCCTTTTGCTATGGCCCCAAGAGACTTCTGGAATTATAGCACTCTCCAAGGAAGGACTGGGTCAGCGGACCACACAAATAACATGCTTTCTCTGTTATGTAACCACAGTTTTTCTCAAGTACTGGATATTAAAAGCACATTTCTGATCACAACTATGCAGAGAGAGGGCGGTGGCTATGTGGCTGTGTGATAAGGCCTGTGAAGAGTTCGGTCTTTGCAAAGAGTCCTTCACGTCTGGAAGGCAGGTAGGATCTGGTGGGCAGTGGTTTGAGAAACTTCCATGAGAACTGCAAAGCTATGTGACTGGTCCTAGCCTTCATTGTAAAACAATAAAACCAAAACCCAAAACCAACTCGATTCCCACATCTTACCCAAGCCAAATACATTGGAATATATGGATGATGGGGAATGAGCAACAGAATATTTTATAAT